TAAAAAAAAAAAAAAAAAAAGGAGAACAAGAAGCCCTTTTAGGCTGTTTAGAAAAGGGTACTGTGATTGATATGTAATGCCTGAACCCATTCAAGCTCCGAAGGAAAGAATCCCATGATTGATTGATGATGTCTGACCCGGGCAGAACAATTGCAGAACTGGTAATAACAATTGCAAGTGGTAAAGCAAATCAACCAGCCACTTTTCTAGACCTCTCAGTCCATTTCCAATTTTATTTTCCTATGCCAATGAGCTACTGCGGACTTCAATATAAACCCAGGTAATAAAGTGAGAGCATGCAAAAGAAATCTCTCCAAAAGAAAAAGTAGAGTCAGCCGGGTGGGTTGGTGGTTAAGGTTAGAAGAGGATCTTGACTCCACAGTGGTCTGATTGGACTTTTCCTTACAGTGTTCTAAAAGCTGCGATGGGGGAAGCCAAAGGAGAAGGGCTATTTGTGTCAACACCCGCAATGACGTCCTGGATGACAGCAAATGTGCCCATCAGGAAAAAGTCACCATTCAGAGGTGCAATGAGTTCCCGTGTCCAAAGTGGAAATCGGGAGACTGGTCAGAGGTGAGATGTAGGAGCTGCTGTTCCCCAGGTGGCCTTGGTTAGCTGACTGTGGGTCCCCCTGGTGTGTTGAAGGCTGAGCCTACAGAACCTCTCCTTGAGAAAGCAGCAGGCCCGTTCCCCACCCAGGCTCTGACTGAGTACTGGCTGGGCCTTGTCCACCAGAGACCTTGACGTCACGGCGTGTGTCTGGATCCACCATGAGAGCTTCTGTTGGTGACTTTGGAGTCCCAGCTCTCTCACCCTCCCCCCTCGTTGAGCCCTAAGTATCTGAGTGGGAGCCAGGACTGTAGTAATCCTGAGGCTCGGCTAGCTCAGGCCTCAAGTCCTCATCTTGGAAATAAGAGATGTCCACCCCAGGAAGGGACCTCTGACCTGGGCATCCATTTATTGGAGGAAAACTTAGATGAAAGAGAAAAGGACCAGGCCGAGGTCCAGACCCGGGCCTTTCTCATCCCTGAGCTTAGGAAGTTTGTGTCCAGGACAGTGAGGAGAAGAATGGCTCTGAGCTTCACCCCCGATGAGCCCAGCCCAGGAGAGTCACCAAGAGGCCCACTCCTTCCACCTTCCTAAGGGGTGCAGGAGGAAGGGGATCAAGGTTCCAGTATGAAGGAGCCAAGTCAGGAGTGTGGGGAGGAGGGTCCTTACAGCCACAGTCACCACAGCCGTATCCTTCCCTCTTCCACGGAAGTGCGGCCTTAACCGTTTACCTTCACCATCAAATAAAGTGCGGGTCTGAAGAGGAGAGGGTTAGTGTCGGTGGAATGAATGGTGGGGAAGCAGTGATACAGGCGGTGGTGAGGGCTCCTGCCAAGGGGACCCGTAGACCTAAGTTTGAGGTCTCAGTTAAACTCTCTTTTATCTGGTTTAAAAAAACCGGAAAGGAAGAGGCTGGGTGCTGTGGCCCACACCTGTAACCCCAGCAGCTCTGGAGGCTGAGGCAGGAGGAGTACGAATTCACAGGCCAGCCTCAGCAACTCAGCAAGACCCTGTCTCTAAATAAAATATAAAAAGGGCTGGGGATGCGGCTCAGTGGTTAAGCACCCCTAGGTCAATCCCTGGTACCTGCCTCACCAAAAAAATGAAAGGTGGTAGTAGGCTTGAATTTTACTTAGATGGCTAATTCTAGGTGAAGCATCATGTCAAATTAGGTAACAGACCTTTGATCAGTTAGGGGTGGGGAAGATCAGACTAAGAACTCAGAATGGTCCAAAATTCCTTAGATAAAAACACTGGAAGGGAAACAGCTAAGTGTAGTTCACACTTGGCCCTCATGCAGTGAGATTTTGACTATAATAATGTCCTTTATTTTTCAAAATTTCTAAAGTAAGCTGGGTATGGTGGCGCACGCCTGTAATCCCAGAGCCAGGCTCTTCCAACCTAATGAGTTAGATCAAGGCACAGAGTCATCAGGCTTGGAGGGAACTTTTCCCAAGTCCTCCTGCTCTGTGGGTCCTGTAGTCTTAACTTGATCCAGAGACTTGGGAGGCTGAAGCAGGAGGATGGCGAGTTCAAGGCCAGCCTTAGCAACTAGGGAGGCCCTAAGCAACTCAGTGAGACCCTGTCTCTAAATAAAATACAAAATAGGGCTGGAGAGGTGGCTCGGTGGTTAAGCACCCCTGGGTTCAATCCCCAGTGCTTGCCCCCAAAAATGTTTCTTAAATGGACATGAACAATAATGACGTTGATATTTGACGTGTTTTGAGGTAAAATTTGTGCTAAGTGCTTTACCCGGATACCTTTCCTTTAGTGTTCACAACACTTTGCAGTAGGCAGGGCTGTTAACCCATTTTACAGATGAGAAAATGAAAGCCCAGGGGGCCCCTCTGACTTGATTGCATTGGGGTTCAAACACAGGTGGGTTGGACTTAAACCCCTAGAGAATCACGAATGCTGTCTTTTTAGTATTTCAGGGATTGACACTCTGTTGAGTTTATTCTCTGTTTAAAAGTGGCTCAGAGACTAAGTACAGAAAGGAAGAGAGAGAGGAGGGCAGGAGGAGGAAAAAAAGGAGAGAGAGAAAGAGAGAGAGAGAGAGAACGTGTACTTGCGTGCATGTGCGTCTGTCTGTCTGTCTGTCTGTCTAGACAGCCATGGGGATAGGCCACTCCTCTTCTCACTGGTGACTACCCTCCGCCGGCCCAAACCACAGCCTCGATGGCCTGGCCCCTGACTGCCTCTGCTTTTCATTGCAGTGCTTGGTCACCTGTGGAAAAGGGCACAAGCATCGCCAGGTCTGGTGTCAGTTTGAAGACCGAGTAAACGACAGGCTCTGTGACCCTGAGACCAAGCCAGTGTCCATGCAAACTTGTCAGCAGCCGGAATGTGCATCCTGGCAGGCGGGTCCCTGGGGACAGGTATTTTAATCGATAAGATTCTTGGCTACATTCTTTCCCCGTCTTATCTGGGGAGGGCTTGTGCAGGGCATTCCAGGGCCTCCCCAGCTCTGGGCCTCCCCAGCTCTGTGGCCTCCCCAGTTCCGTGGCCCTGGAGCAAGCACGTGAGACCCTCTGCCCTGTCCAGCTCCCCTCACCTGGTTGCCGCTTCCCTGCCAGAGTTCAGGGCTCTGTCCGCAGCCCCACCCTTTGGCTTCAACTGCACATGCGCCCTGAAACAAATCCACAGCAGACTCTGCGTCTGTCTCTGCGGGGCTGCTACAGAGTATGATCCAATCCATGCACGAGCCTTTGGCAGGAGGTCTGGGGTGGGTTGTGGAAGGGCTATTTTGGCTCCCAATGTCAGGATTCCAAAGCTGGCTTCCCAGAAAGAAGCAGGCTAGTTAGATCAAGGGCACAGAGTCATTAGGCTTGGAGGGAACCTTTCCCAAGTCCTCCTGGTCTGTGAGTCCTGTAGTCTTAACTTGATCCAGTCTTAAAGGAGAGAGGGGGCCTCCCTGGGTCTTGCATTCACCCCTGAAATTCAGTCCTCCCTAATATAGAAGCAAATGTTCATGTACTATTGAAGCAGGACTCCGAGTTCCCAGCACAGGGCTAGAGCAGCTGTGGGATGTCACTTATGTAACCTCTTGAAGAATGTTGAAGAATAACTCTCCCTGCACCCTGACCAGTCATGGCCCCTTCTGTCCTTTAGCCTCTGTCTTCATTTCCAAATTTCCGTGCAGTCAATGACAGCAGCTTCATTGCTTCATTTCTGCAATGTCTGCCATCCATATTTTTTTTGCAGGGGGTGGTACCAGAGATTGAACCCAGGGACACGTAACCACTGAGCCACTTCCCCAGAGCTATTTAGTCTTTTATTTAGAGACAAAGTCTCATTGAGTTGATGAGGGCCTTGCCATTGCTGAAGCTGGCTTACAACTCATGATTCTCCTGCCTCAGCCTCCTGAGCCTCTGGGATTAGAGTCATGTGACACTGCACCCAGCCATATTTTTAAAAATTAAAGTGAAACTCATAGTACAAAAACTAACATTTTTAAATGAAAAAAATCAGAGACCTATAACATATTCATAATGTTTTGCAGTCTCTATTTACTTCCAAAACATTTTCATCAGCCCCCCAGAAGAAACCTTGACACATCAAGTGGGTTGTTCTCTGCACCCTTCTTCCCTTAGGGCCTAGCAGCCACCAGTTTGCATTCTGTCCATACGGATTTGCCTGTTTGGACATTTCATAGAAATGGAATTATATGCTGGGTGTGGTGGTGCACATCTTAATCTTAGCAGCTGGGGAGGCTGAGACAGGAGGATCGTGAGTTCAAAGCCAGCCTCAGCAACTTAGTGAGGCCCTAAGAAACTCAGTGAGACCCTGTCTCTAAATCAAATACAAAATAGGGCTGGGGGTGTAGCTCAGTGGTTGAGTGCCCCTGAGTTCAATCCTCAGTACCTGACCCCCTGAAAAGAAATGGAATTACACAGTACATGGCCGGCTGTATCTGTCTTCGTATTGCATGCTGCTTTCAAAGTTCACTTATGTGGTAGCATGTATTGGTATTTCATTCCAACTCTTACCTGAATAATATTCATTCCATTCTATGGATGAGAAACAATTTGTTTATGCCTTTATTTTTTATGGATATTTAGGTTGTCTCTACTCTTTGGCTACTGTGAATTACTAGCTGAATATTCACAAATATGTATCTATTTGAGTACCTGATTTAACCTGGGAATGCAATTGCTGGATCATCAATTCTGTGTTTAATTTTTAAATTTCCAAGTGGTTTTCCATAGCACTGTACCATTTTACATCATAAAAGCAATATGCAAGGGTTCTAATTTTTCCATTTCCTTTTGGGGGGATGCAGGGGTGGGGTACCAGGGTTTGAACTCAGGGACACTCAACCACTGAGCCCCATCCCCAGCCCTATTTTGTATTTTATTCAGAGACAGAGTCTCATTGAGTTGTTTAGTGCCTCGCTAAGTTGCTGAGGCTGGCTTTGAACTCATGATCCTCCTGCCTCAGCCTCCTGAGTTGCTGAAATTACAGGCATGTGTCACCATACCCAACTTTCTAATCTTTATTATTTCCTTTCTTCTCCTAATTTTGGGCTTACTTTGCTCTTCTGTTTCTTCCTTCTTAAGCTACATACACATTTTGCTCATTGGTTTGAGGTTGTTTTTCTTTATCTTACACAGTCATTTGCAACTATCAATTTATTGTGAGCCCTGCTTTCCCTGAATCTCGTAAATTTTCTTATTTCTGTTTTGTTTTCATCCATCTCAAGTACTTTCCTTTGTCCCTTGTGATTTCTTCTTTGGCCTGTGGGTTGTTTGAACACATGTTAATGTCCATGCATCTGTGAACTTGGCCGATTTGCCTCTGTTGATTCCCTTGTGGTCAGAAAACATGCTTTGTGTTACCTTCTTATTAAATGTCTTGAGCCCTCTTGGGTGGCCTAACGTGTGACCTGTTTTGGAAAATGTTCCCACGTTGGAGAGCAATGTACAATATGGTAGGTGGGTGAGCAAAGATGCCACCACACCTATTGAAATTGGTCGGTGCTCTCCGAGTGGCCATAAGATTTTCTGAGATGCCACAGTTCCAAAAATGTTGATTCTGCCCGTTGTTACCAGCTTGATGGTTGCTTCAGTAGAGAGACTAATTTTTGAAACTTCTTACTTACTCTGCCGTGTCTCTGACCTCACTCCTGCTGTTAGACTGCTTTTCAAAATCTATGTTTATCTATTAGATTTATTTTGCCCTTTTATTTATTTCCTTTCCTACCTGGATACAATGGTGTCTTTTTAGCTAACTTTTGATTATTGCATTTTTAGGTGGTTTCTAACATCTTGTGATCTATTATAAGAGCATCGTGCTGTTCAAAACTAGGGACACGAACTCCAATTATTTCCTCAGAATGGTTTTTCAGAAGCCAGGGAAGGCGGCAGAGCTCTGCGAAGTACTTGTGTGAACTAGAGTGCTGTCTAGGTTGCACGTGAAAGGGGGCTCTTCCCTCCCCTTGGGGCTCACAGCCGAGGGACTGAACCCCGAGTCACTGAGCTTTTCATTGCTGTGACTCACCTACCTGACGGAAACACTTAGAGGAGGAAGGGTTCATCTTGGCCCAAGGTGCCAGTCTGTAGTCCGGTGGCACTGTTAGTTTGGGCCTGAGGCAGGACCCCATGGTGAAAGGTACGGGGGGAAGAAATTCTCAAGGCAGCCAGAGGCAGAAAGAGTTGGACAGGAAGGGACCAGGGACAAGATATGGTCCCCAAGTCCAGTGATCTTCTTTCTCCAACTGTGCCCCACCTGCCTGCACTTCTGTCACCTCCCATTTGACCATGTGGCTCTCATGGGTTAGGCCACTGATGAGGTCAGGCCCACATGATCTATTCACTTCCCAGAAGCCACACCAATGAGCATTATTGTCTGGAGGACCAAGCCGTCACACATGGGTCTTCAGAAGACACTTTATATCCAAGCTGTAACAAACTTCTATGTATACAATTCTACTAGGAGGCGACAATAATTCCAAGTGTCACATAATAGTGATCAGTAAATAGACTGATGCATTATGATGAATGGTCCAATCATTAGAGTGTCATCATAATCACGGGCAAATGAAGCTACTGATTGGTGCAGAGCTAGCAGCTAAGTGCTTTGGGCGTTTGCCCCTCTGGCCTCCTACGATGGAAATGCTTTTCTCGGGCAGATGTTTGGGGCAATGGGGAAAGGGAAGACTTCTGAATGTTGTGTCCATTTTCCTCCCCCAGTGCAGTGTCACCTGTGGACAGGGTTACCAGCTGCGGGCAGTGAAGTGCATCATTGGGACCTACGGGTCAGCGGTAGACGACAGTGACTGTAACGCAGCCACCAGACCAACGGACACCCAGGTGAGTCCCCCTTGTCCACCTCAGTGACCGACGTTGGGCATTAAGACACCACGACATCCCAGGGGTTCAGACAGAATCAGAACCTTCTCCTCTGTGGGACAGCAGTCAGACACCTGGATTTACTTATATGTTGTGTTTAGAGTCTGATACTTTGTTATATTGCTTTTGTCCTTTTCTGGTTATTTTATATATATATATCTGATTTTATTTTTATTTATTTTTGGTACCAGGGATTGAACCCAGGAACACTCAACCACTGAGCCCCCACACCCAGCCCCATTTATATCTTATTTATAGACAGTTGCTTTGGGCCTCACTGAGTTGCTGAGGCTAGCTTTGAACTAGCAATCCTCCTGCCTCAGCCTCTCGAGCCACTGGGATGACAGGAATGCGCCAGCACACCTGACTCTGACTTTATTCTAATCAGGTGGCAAATATTGGTTGACTTCCTTTTACCTGAACTTAGATTTAATTTTTAATGATTTCTTCAAAGAATTCAGTAACTAATGTCATGATTTCAGGCAGTGTGTGCTGAAGCTAGCCTGGACCCGCTCACCAGAGCCTGGGTCAATGTCACAGGAACGTGGTGAGCTGGAGATTAAATATAGCCATTATTTTAACATGAGAAATACGAATCTTTATTTAAGTAGAAGGTATTAAAGACAAATCTGATAAATACCTAAACTTATCGCTTCCTGATTATTTTAGTAGTCACTCTTGTCTATGCCCTCGGGCCGGTTGCCTCTGGTACCTGTGTGGGGGAAGCCCACTGTGCTGCTCAGCACCTTCCCGACTCTGGATTGACTGACGTCTCTTTTTAGATGAGCAAGTGGATCTATAATAGGACTTTAAAAATCATTTAGTAGACCCTGCCCTGAATCCAGACATCTGAAAAGGGATTCCCATGGTATCACATTCTGCACTGACGAAATCCAGCCAGGACTATCAGGAGGGAGACACACAGGAATCTGATCTGGGTTTGCTCAGCTCAAGGCAGAAACAGAAAGAGTCACACAGGAAGAGACCAGGGACGAGATGTAGTACCCAAGGCCAAGGGTTCAGGGAACTCTTTTTTGTCATTGTTCCTTTTAGATATCCAGGGCAATAGAGAGTATTTGCACATATCTCACACACATGGAGTCTAACTTCCCATTCTTGTGGTTGGACCTGATGTGGAGTTTCCCTGGTCGTGTGTTCAGATATGAACACAGAAAAGTTCTGTCCCATTCACTCCACTGTCTTTCCTGTTCCCATCTCCATTCGGTCCCCTTCACTCCCCCAGCCCCGTCTCAGCCAGTGACCTCTGTTCTCCTCCCCACATTGTGAGTCAGCCTCTGCACATCCGAGGGAACATTCAGCCTTTGGTTTGGACACTGACTCACTTCACTCAGCCCCACCCATTCTGCAGATGCCCTCCTTGCCCCCTCTGTGTGGCGGGTCAGGACTGCTTGCCCGTGTGTTCTCATCCACTCTCTAAATGTGTGATGACTTGAAATAAGCAGGTTTTCTCCCCTTTTGCATCTAGGACTGTGAATTCCCATCCTGCCACCCTTCCCCAGTGGTCCCAGAAACAAGGAGAAGCGCACACAATGTTCCAAGAACCCAGTGGCGATTTGGATCTTGGACTCCAGTAAGAAAGAGATGGGGCGGAGCAGGGAGGGCAGAGAGGACAGGTGTTCTCTGGTGGACGACAGGGGGTGGCCAGTGCCTGTAAGACCCTCCCTCAGTCCCCTGCTGCACTGTTTCCCTCCCACCCAGTGCTCAGCCACCTGTGGCAAAGGGACCCGGATGAGGTATGTCAGCTGCCGGGATGAGGACGGCTTGGTGGCGGAGGACAGCGCATGTGCTGCCCTGCCCAAACCGGTGGCCAAGGAGGAGTGCTCCGTGACCCCCTGTGGGAGGTGGAAAGCCCTGGACTGGAGCCCTGTAAGCCCTGACTTCTGAGGAATTGGGAACTGGTGGGGGATGGGCAGGGTGGGGGATGGGCAGAGGGGGGAAGGGCCCGGGTCCCAGTGTCAGTTGTGAGATCTTAGAATGGGGCTGAATTTATGATGGAGTTATTCCACCCACAGTACAGGGGTACAAAAGATGCACATTTTTAAAAAGATGTAGATTGATTATCATGAGCTTGCAGACCTTCCTGCTGGGCTGGCTGGAAACCCCAGTCTTCGTGGAGACATGTCAGCATGTAGTGGGTCCGCAGGGTGCAGGATGGGTGGGGGGAGAGTGCAAGACACCCTCTTTCTTTGAGTCTGGGGGCCTCCTGTGTACTGTGGTCCCTCAAAGTCAAGTGGGTCTAGTTCCCTGCCAAGAGTGGGAAGTGAGTATCCTCCCCCAGTGCCCTGTGCACACCAACCACCATCTGTGGGTGTTTTTACTTTTTATTTGTTCCTTTTAGATATACATGACAGTAGAGTGTATTTGGACACATCACACATACATGGAGTCTAACTTCCCACTCTTGTGGTTGTGCATGATGTGGGGTTTCCCTGGTCGTGTGTTTATATATGGACATGGGAAATTTCTGTCCCATTCATTCCACTGTCTTTCCCATTCCCATCCCCTTCCCTTCTCCCCATTCCTCCCTCTACAATCCAGTAAACTTCCACTCCTCCTTCCCCGCCCCATGGTGAGTTCAGCATCCACACATCAGAGGGGACATTTAGCTTTTGGTTTGGGGGGATTGGCTTATTTCATTTAGCATGATAGTCTCCAGCCCCATCCATTTACCTGCAAATGCTATAATTTCATTCTTCTTTATGGCTGAGTAATATTCCATTGTGCATATGTACATTTCTGTGGGTTTTTATAAAAGTAGATGAACCTTTGTCTACAGGAAACTATTGCTTTCTGCCCAGAAAAAGTCATGGAGTCCAGGAAAAAGCTTAGCGTAGGTGAAAAGGAAACATAAGGAATGAAGGTTATAGTAGTAAATATCAAAATATGAACATAAAATTGGAGGAGTCAAATAGAACTCTCTAAAATCCCAAACATTATGATTTACCAGTTGTATCATCCTAGGCAATTTCAATTCTCATTTTTCTTCTGCTCTCAAAAACAAAAAGAGCACCTACTTTGCAAAATGGCCGTGAGGGTTATTTGAGATTATAGATGGTAAATGCTTTACAGAAAGTAGGTCCTCAATAAACAGTGTCTATCCTTCAGTCCGGGCATCTGTCTGTCAGATCCTGGTGTTTATTCATCAGCTATTTGTGAAAGAGCAGCGAACCAAGAATAACAGAGTCCCTGCCTTATGCAAGAATATCCCAGTGGAGAAACCTGTCAGCGAACAAATAAAGCAATGTCTGCTGCAGCAGCAGGTCCTGATGAGAGCTAGACATAGTCGAGCAGCACATGGCCTAGAGAGAGCCGTGAGCAGGACCTGAGTGAGGACAGTCAGCCGCATGGGTTCTGTTTGGTGCAGCAGGATGCACAGCGGGGTAAGGCCCCCGAGCCGGTAGCTTGGCGTGTGCACAAGCACCCTAGAGGCCAGGGTGGCTGGGGCGTAGTGAGGGTGACTGAGAGGCGCTCATCAGGTACCCAGTGGTGTCCCCAGAAAGAGCCTACTAGGTCAGCAGAAGGACATTGGTTATTATTGTGAGTGACCTGGGAAGTCACTGGAGGGACCCATGATGTGACTTTTGTCCTAAAGGGTCATGTTTTGGGACCTGCAGACAGCAGACTCAGGCGGAGAGCATCAGGTCCTGAGCCTGGTTGAAAGGCCATCGCAATACCCCAGGGAAGGCCAGATCTCCAAGTCAGGCCACCGTCGCTGTGGCCATCGGGACAAGTGGCTGGATCAGGGACATACCTCGAACATTGAGTTATGGGACAGGAGGAAGAGAGGAGTCAAGGTCCATTCCAAGCCTCTGGGGCCTGAGCCTCCGGGAAAGTAGTAGCCGTGTGCAGAAATGAACATGCGAGGCCTCCACAGCGCCCCCCAGTGACCACCCCTTTTTCTTTCTGAACATCCGACATAGTGCTCTGTGACGTGTGGGCAAGGTAGGGCAACCCGGCAGGTGGTATGTGTCAACTACAGTGACCACGGGATTGACCAGAGCGAGTGCGACCCCGACTACATCCCAGAGACCGAACAGGACTGCGCCATGTCCCCGTGCCCTCAGCGGACCCCGGACAAGGGCCTCCCTCAGCACCCCTTCCAGAACGAGGACTACCGGCCCCGGAGCCCCAACCCCAGCCGCACACACGTGCTGGGGGGAAACCAGTGGAGGACGGGCCCCTGGGGAGCCGTGAGTATCACAAAAGACACCCCCTACACACTGGCTTCTCTCCCTGAGGTCGAGTTTGGGGAAGGAAAGTTCTAGAAATGCCTCTGCACCTGTCTGCTCTTCCTAGGGACTGGTGTGTGATTTCACGGGCTCTGGGTGAAGGCAATGCATAGTTAGATGTGTAGTTAGAGCCACTCAGTAGGGTCCCCGGAAAGATGCTCTGGGAGGACTCACTCCTCAAAGGGGCAGGAAATGCATGGAGGAGCGGGTGTCACTGCTGCGTGACAGGAGCAGGTGGCCTCTTGGGCAGTATTGTGAAAGCCAGAATGAGTCAGGCAGCTCAGACCTGGAGAGAAAGAGCAGAGAGACTATTCTAAAAGGGAGTCCTTTTTTTTTTTTTTTTTGTTCCTTTAGATGTGCATGACAGTAGAGTGCATTTTGAGCTATCACACATACATGGAGTCTAACTTCCCATTCTTGTATTTGGACATGATGTGGAGTTTCATGGATCATGTGTTCATATATGAACACAGGAAAGTTCTGCCCATTCATTCCACTGTCTTTCCTAGTCCCATCTCCCCCTTTATTCTCCTTTGTCTAATGCAGTGAACTTCTTCTATTCCCCACCGTTATTGTGTGTTAGCATCTGCACATCAGAGAGAACATTTGTCCTTTGGTTTTTTGGGACTGGTTTATTTCACTTAGCACGATGGCCTCCAGTTCCATTCATTTACTGGTTAACACCAAAATTCCATTCTTCTTTATGGCTGAGTAATATTCCATCTGTATATAGACCACATTTTCTTCATCCATTCATCTGTTGAAGGGCATCTAGGTTGGTCCCTTAGCTCAGCTATTGTGAATTGAGCTGCTATGAACATGGAAAGGGAGTTCTTAAAGAAAGTGGCTTTTCTTTCTGCCATTTTCCAGATGAATACAGTCTGTAGTGGCATAGTTGCTGTTTCACTGGTATTAGATTAAAGAGGAAATACTCCTGTTAGATAACCTAAGTGCTGCTTGGGGTAGGGGAGCATCTTATTCCCTAAAAGTTAGCAGTGCGGGTAGACTGCAGATGTCTCCATTTGACCAAAAACTTGCATTTTCAAATTTGAGGGGGCTGAGGAGGTCCTCTCACCTGTGAACCTCAGTGTCCTCAATTATAAATGAGGGTACCATTGGTTCCTGCTGTCTTTGGTAGTATGAATTAAATGAGATGATCTGGGGGCAGTGGTGCACACCTGGAATCCCAGTAGCTCAGGCAGGAGGACCATGAGTTCAAAGCCAGCCTCAGCAAAAGTGAGGCCCTAAGCAACTCAGTGAGACCCTGTCTCTACATAAAATACAAAATAGGGCTGGGGATGGGGCTCAGTGGTCGAGTGCTCCGGGGTTCAATCTTCAGTACCCCCCCCAAAAAAAAGATTGCAAATGCCATGTGCAACTTGATAATTTGTAAAAATGACATAGCTCCCAGGGCCAGATGGCTATTTTGGAGGCAAACCCATTTTATAACTGAAGAGTAAAGGATGCAGGCAATCACTCTGGGTTAAAAGGGTAAGGAAATCATGGGAACACAAAACATTCCAGGTGCGGCTTCGCGAGAGAGCTGAGCAGCTTGTGTGGGAAATGGGGGGGGAATGCCAACCTCAGCCATCAGCGTGTTAGACTGAAGTGCCCAAAGACAGGCTCCTCAAGACGAATTCAACTAGGTTCATTGGGGAAGTAAAAAAATTAAATGAACAAAACATATCTATCTTGTTCCCATGAAGCCATTGAAGTCAAGGGGGCGGAGGGAACGTCAGCCGGCTAGGGAGTCCTGTCTCAATGACACTCCAGGCTGCCTCCTGCAGTAACTGAGTGAGGTCCTGGAGAAGCGTCATTTCAACAAGTGGCAATTCATTAAGCCAGTAATTTGACCTCTGTGTTGAAAGGGACGTCCAACGTTGGTTCCAAATAAACTCTCCAAATTTTGAAAAGAATCTCCAAAGGGGCTGGAGAGAGAGCTCAGTTGGCAGAGCGCTTGCCTGGCATGCACAAGGCCCTGGGTTCACTCCCCAGCAGTGCCACAAAAAGAAGAATCTCCAAATAAACTATGATGTCCATTGACCCTCCCCTCCCCCACCCACTCCACCCCACCTTGCAGAGAAATTAAGGGGGGCAATAAATGGGACTAATTTAGAAGTCTCATGAGCTTGGGAGGCTGAGGCAGGAGGATCTTGAGTTCAAAGCCAGCCTCAGCAATTTAGCGAGGCCCTAAGCAATTCAGTGAGACCCTGTCTCTAAATAAAATACAAAATAGGGCTGGGGATGTGGCTCAGTGGTTAAATGACCCTGAGTTCAATCCCAGTTACAAAAAAAAAAAAAAAAAAGAGGTCCCCAGCTGCTTTGTCCTGGTTGCAGATGCTCAGGAACAGTTTCTGTCACATTGTCTGAGTTGCAGCCAGTTGCTGCTTGTCTCTCCAGCGGAGGTGGTGCTGAGGGTTAACTTGTCACCTGTGTGTTAGTGTTCCAGTACCTGTGCCGGAGGTGCCCAGCGGCGTGTCGTGGTGTGTCAGGATGAAAACGGATACACTGCAAACGACTGTGTGGAGAGAATCAAACCCGACGAGCAGAGGGCCTGCGAATCCGGTCCTTGTCCCCAGTGGGCTTACGGCAACTGGGGAGAGGTGAGGACAAACCACCCATCCCTGTTCCTCTGAAGGAATCGTGTCATCGTTTGTATTATAAGGAACAAGAACCAGCTTGAATAGAAACTTCTGGGTTTGGGATACATTAGGAAACCTGGCTTTGTGCTGTTCTTATTTAAACAATTTGCTTATAACCAATAAGAGACAGAAGGCAGATTAGGAGAAAATATTGATAAATGCTGGTTTAAGTTATTTATTAACTAATCTTTGATGATTTTTTTTTAAAAAATGGATGCTTTTAGCTGGGCACGGTGGTGCCTGCCTATAATCCCAGCACCACGGGAGGCTGAGGCAGGAGGATCATGAGTTCAAAGCCAGCCTCAGCAATGGCAAGGCCCTAAGCAACTCAGTGAGACCCTGTCTCTAAATAAAATAAAAAATAGAGCTGGGGAAGTGGCTCAGTGGTTGAGTTCCCCTGAGTTCAATCCCTGGTATCCCCCCCCAAAATAATAATTGACATCATTAATGTTAAAAATCTTCATGATCCTTCGTGGTACTGTTATAAAAGGGAGCTTGAGTCCCTGTTGCACTTAATGGTGGAGTTGAGAAGCTTCTGGTTTTACGTTTAACCAAGAATACAGCTCTCTCCTGCTAAATCCACAGGAAGAGCACGTACTTAAAGCTCATCGAGCCGTTCTGTCTGGACTGTAAAATTTATGAAATGAAAAATGTCAGTTAGCACCTGGGAGACCCCGGTGCCAAGAGGAGGAATGAGAAACCAGCTTGCGGGCCCCTTGATGCGTGCTCTGGCTGAGGGCAGTGGCGCCCACCTCCCCTGTTCCATTCGCACCACCTGGTAGTGGCAGGCAGAGCAGGGGCTTTGGCTGACTGTCATCCACAGTTACGTCATCCTGGAGAGCTTCCCCGAAGGAATGGGAGTGGGAGGGAGGCTCGGAGCCTGGTGGATTGTGGGTTTCCCAGAACTCCTTGCAAAACCTCTGTCCTCTGGGACCCACGATTAAGCTTCTGTAATTGGACCCACACCAGCCGAGTGCAGGCATTTTGGGGACGTGAGCTGTCAGCACAGAGTGATCCTTCCAGATTCTAGGGAGATCTGGCCCTCACACAGCAGGGGAACTGACTGTCAGGGTCCCTGGATGTGAGCACAGCAGTACTGTCCAAGAAATGTGACTTGTTCCTGCCTCAGAAGTTTGAGTCCCGCCAGGAGTCTGAGCCAACATCTCCCACCCCATTGCTTATTCATCCCAGGGGCAAGTCATCCTTGTCCTAAATTTCAGAGAGAGAGAGAGAGAGAGAGAGAGAGAGAGAGAGAGAGAGAGAGTAAAATACATTAGCATCATAAAGGTCTAAAGAGATTAGAGTCAGAAAATCATCAGAGGTTGGTGACAGTTTAGAAATTGCCAGAAAATAGCTGGGCGCGGTGCTGCACGCCTGTAATCCCAGCAACCCGGGAGGCTGAGGCAGGAGGATGGTGAGTTCAAAGCCAGACTCAGCAATTTAGTGAGACTCTGTCTCAAAATAAAAAATAAAAAGGGCTGGGGGTGTAGCTCAGTGGTCAAGGGACCTTGAGTTCAGTACCCGTACCTAAAAATAAAAAGAAGTTGCCAGAAGATGGAGTCTGACTAAGGAAGTAGCTCAGTGGTAGAGCACTTGCCTAGCATGTGTGGGGCCCTGGGTTCCAGGCACTATTTTTAAAAAATAAAATAACATGTTTGCCAGAAAATAAAACTGGCTAGGTCATTATTTCCTTTATTTAATATTGAATAGTTTGGGGTTTTTTGTTTTTGTTTTTTTTTGTTTTTTTCCTGGGTACCAAGGATTGAACTCAGGGGCACTCGACCACTGAGCTCCATCTCCAGCCCTATTTTGTATTTTATTTAGAGACAGGGTCTTGCTGAGTTGCTTAGCGCCTCGCTTTTACTGAGGCTGGCTTTGAACTCTCGATCCTCCTGCCTCAACCTCCTAAGCCACTGGGATTACAGATGTGCACCACTGCACCCAGCTTTGTTTATGTTTTTAGATTTTGAAATTTACCCCAGCCATTTGTTCATAAATTAACTTTGATCAAGTTAATTGACTCCTTAACCTCAGTGGCCCCAAATATTAAGCGGGGCAAATGTTATACTCTGCACCTGAGGAGATAATGGATACAAAACCCCTCTTAAGTATGGGGAAGCCCTCAGTGAGCGACCCCTACCACCCAGGGAGGAGGACTTGGGTCCACTGTAAGATAGTATCGCTGCGGTGACCGCTGGCTCTAGCTGTCAGAGTCACCTTGTCCAATGCTGTCATGGAGTTTGGCTAAGACAGGTTCCTTATGGGAAAGAAAATGAGTCACTGCCATTCAGACAAAATCACCGCAATGTCTGCTGTCCTCTCTGCAGTGCACAAAGCCATGTGGTGGAGGGAGCCGGACGCGACTGGTGGCCTGTCAGCGGTCCAATGGCGAACGCTTCCCAGATCTGAGCTGTGAAATCCTTGACAAGCCTCCAGATCGTGAGCAGTGTAACACACACGCCTGTCCCCAAGACGCCGCCTGGAGTACTGGCGCTTGGAGCTCGGTACGGCCCTAACTATTCCTGTTTGTTCCCCAAACTCTCCAATCCCAGGGTGTTCTGGTGCGGTCCCTGTGACATCAGTGTCCCCTGAGGAGGGTGTCCTAGAGGCCGTCCTGGGGAGTAGTGTGTCATCCTCTCCGAGTCACTGACAGTAGCATTAACATTTTTGCAACATGGCCAGAGGTGACATCACAAGAATCCGTGTACCTCATACAGGACCTGGTGCCAAGAAGTAGCTTCCTTTTCTAGAAGAACCATGTCCCTAGATAGTGACAGCTCATTAGCAGACACTCTCTCCTTTCTAAGCTACCGTAGCGTTGACGCTGGGGGACCATTTCTGCTTATTGAGGCCTCTGCAGTTTTTTTTCTTCAATGACTAATAGTTTGCTTCCCTGTCATTCGGGGTACAACTCAACCACAGTCGTCACAAAGCCTGGGCCCACCAAATAGACTGAAGTCATTATGAAAAGAGGAATGACCCCCAGTGGAATCAGTGACCTGGGGCCTTTCAAGGTGTCTGGAATGTTCTTCTGCCCAGACAGGAAGCCTGTTGGAGACTTTTTTTTTTCCGTCTGGTCTCTGCTCACTGCTCAGCCAGCAGCTGACATGGTGAGGCAGGTTTGCCACCGTAGGTGACACTCTGCAAACTTCTAGGGCAGCTCTTGGCAAACAGAAGGCTCAACTGTGTCCCATATCACCGTGGCTAGCTTGCGCCACGAGCTATAGAGCCATTGCGGCTGGTTCATAGAGCTAGGGCAAACCTTCTGGTCAATACGTTAATTGCACTGAAGTTGAACTTAGTATTGTATCAGGTCCTATCCAGAAGGCCTTTTTTGTTCACTATGACTCTGAGGAAAAGACTTAAACAACCCTGAAACCAGCTGAAAAGCACATTCATTGAATTGACATGGTTGATACCTGTGGATGCTTCTGGAAACCAAGGTTTTCAGTGTCTGAGGTTGTGTCTGCAGAAATAGCTCTGTGACCACTGTACTTTTGTTAGGTAGAAATCTAGAAGAATTGAGAAGGGTTATCTCAACTGGTACTGTATCACTGAGCTGTAGTCCAGAGTTTAAGAAATGTCACCCTGAGTCACATGGACAGTTCCCTGGGAGCACGTCTGTGTCCAGTAATGGCACCCTCCCCAGGTGCATGCTCTGAAGAGCACGAGAGATGACCTCAGGGTGTTGGGAACATCCCCACATGTCCAGCTTCCCTTATCACGGATTTCATGATATTTTCCATGAAATGTTCCCGCTCGAACTTATTCCGTTTTCATCTCTACCAGTAGTAACACCAACACCAGAGTCACATTTCAAAAAGCCTCCTAGCCCTCCAAAAAGAAATACGTCACCAGGCATGGTGGCCCATGCCTATAATCCTATGGCTCTGGAGGCTGGGGCAGGAGGATCATGAGCTTGAGGCCAGCCTCAGCAACTCAGCAAGGCCCTGAGCAACTTAGAAAGACCTTACTTCAAAATAAAATAAAATAACAAAAAGGGCTGGGGATGTGGCTCTGTGGTAGAGCTCCCCTGAGTTCAATCCCTGGTACCAAAAAAAAAAAAAAAAAAAAAAGAATGTCACTAATTTTCACCAAAAAACATGAGAGTCCTTGTTACATATTCCTGTAACTGGGTGAAAAAAAAAGAAAAACATAAATTTGTATTTCCCATGCTCTAATTCCTTAGATTGTCCTGTATTTTTCTATGAAGTATTCCTTGGGAAAATGACATCTTGCCAGGGTTCTATGCATGTGTACGTCCATGTGCACACCTACGTACGTAAACACACCTGTGAACATCCACACTTATGTGCATGTAGATTAATTTCCACAGAATTCTCTTACTTGAATGTATTCTTAGTATGGCTTTTTTTTTTTTCCTTCTCTGCACAGGATCACCACCCGCCCCCATAGATATTTTAAGAGCTTACATGCTTAAATTGTAAAATATGAACTGCCGATTATCTTAACTGAAGACATGACGTTTATTTAATATAGTTCTTCTTGGGCCTGTGTACGATTTTCTGAAATGCCAAGGAGGAGGAAAGAGGGAGAGAGAGTCAGACCCCAGTGCTCTGGCACTGCAGAACAAGTCGGTGGAGTTGTAAACTCTGTGTGCGGGCTGTGTGATGTCTAACACTCCCTTTGTACAGTGATCATTATCTGAATGTCTCTTTCAACACCTCTAACGTCTTAAGGGCAAGGCCACTTCTGCAAGGCTTTTAAGTTGTGATTTTTTTTTAATTAAATCAAAAGTATTTTCTGGAAAAAGATACATTTGTAATATATTACTTTTCCTAACTAGATGTGTGAGAGGATAGTCTTTCAGATTCTTTTTTTCAAAAAATTTTTTAAAATTTTTCTCTTCTGTCTATTTCCATGGTGGTGGATGCTTTGGTATACAACATCTTAGTGATTCTGAATTAAGCATACCTCAATGAATGTGTTCATAGCCATAAAGTCACTCCTACGGTGCTTGATCATTGTCACCAACAGTGGAATTCACAATAAAAAGTACATTTGAGGCACTAATATATTGCTTTTAACAGAAGGCAACTTAGATTTATTAGAGTTTGGGAGTAGGAAAGGTTCCTGCAGGTTTTTTTTTTCTCTTCCCAAGGACTTCCACACATAGACGCTCTCATGCCAAGAATCAGCTACACTGAGTGAGGTGGCTTCCCCCAAGGTCAAAGGAAGCCTTCTCCAAGGTCGCAGTGGAGATAGCCTACTCCAGCGCTTGCTACTAAAGAGCAATATCTAGGTGAGAAAGCCCAAATCACTGTTATCTTTGGCTTCCAGAGTCTCCAAAATGAAGCTTCAGTGAACTTGAAGTTCAAGGGTCCACTTTAGACAGATGGTTGGCTCTGACTCACATCATTGCAGATTTAAGAATCATGATTCAGTCTTTTCTGTCCTTTTGAAAATATGTCCTTGGAAGCTGGGCATGGTGATGCCAGCCTATAATCCCAGTGACTCTGGAGGCTGAGGCAGGAGGGTTGCAAGTTCAAAGCCAGCCTCAGCAATTTAGCGAGGCCCTAGGCAACCTAGTGAGACCCTGTCTCTAAATAAAAAATAAAAAGGGCTGGGGAAGCATTTCTGGGTTCAATCCCCAGAAACAAAATATTGTGTGTGTGTGTGTGTGTGTGTCTCCTTGGACTCTATTTTGGCCATGTTCATTTTTGAAATAAGGTTCTCCAACCACTGTGCCTTTGAGTGTACTCCTGAAGCCAAGAGGTAGACGTCGTGTCATGAATGCACATACCCCATGATTAGAACGGCAGATTGTAAAGAAAGCTTGATGCTCTCCAGCCAAAGTAGAAATCAGCTAAAACTCAAGAGCCATCTAGAGCAAGCTCACCCATCCAGATAGCTCACACAGCAAGTTCTGCTGGGTGGTGCTATGGCTCCAGACGGTTCTATGGCATTTCTCTGCTTGGCCCTGTGTATCTCCCTGCCAATCAACTTGGAGATGGTGGTTCTCCTTAGGAGACATGGCTTGTTGGGGTTTTTCATGACCAACCTAAAAGTGTGTGTTCTCTGAGCCTTGCTTCAGGTGCTTTAGAATACTGCTTGTCAACCCTCATAATAAGAATTTATGAGCTCGTGAAGGATCGTGCTTTGGTTTCTGCCTGGCCAACTGATGAATTGTGTCTACCTCATTTTCATGTTCAAGTTTGCAGCTTCCCGTAGGTAGGAAGAGAAAAATGTTTTGCATCAGTGTTTTATCACCTCATGACACCTGTCTCTAGAAGAAAATAAAGATTGTAAATAGCACGACCGTATTTCCTGGACAGTTTTAAGCAGCCACACCTAGTATATTCTGAATATTTTGAGCAGTACAGATTTCTATGTTTATATAATAAAGCATATTTATTTTCCATGTTATTTAATTTTATATACCATGTTTAAAAAATCAGTGTTTATGAGCAGACTGTAAAGGCAAGTAGGCTGTGTGAATTAGAAATGAATGTATATGTTTCTTCCGGTTTTAAAAAGATACATTTTAATTTTGTAAATTCCTTCCAACCTGTACCACTGCACCCTTTCCCCTCCAATCTGTGTAGCCAAGAGTCAAGCTTTATGTAATTGGATAGTTTCAAGTGTGTATTTTTAAAGAGATACTTTCAAAAATATTTCTGAATTGGAAATGATACTTAGTTACATAAACAAAAAATATATGAGGCTTAACAATTTGTTGGGTATTTTTTCTTTCCCAATACTGTTGTCCTGATTCATTGAGTTTCCACTATGAAATATTAATGCTCCATTTGTTGAATTTGTAGATAATGATGAAACATAGCCAGAAGATTAAAAAAAAAAACTAGTTAGGAGAAATTGTTCTGAATACATAAGAGAAGCTAGGTACAGGAAAAAGCAAACAATGTGCATAAATTTGATCGTACCTTGTTCTTTGTTCATATAGCTGCCAAAGGCTTTATAAAATTTCTCAATTTTGTTTCTTGTTTACCTACAATATAGTTCAGAAAGCATTTCTTACTTAAAAAAAAAATATTATCCCAATAAACTGGGAAGTCTCAAGAGAGCCTACCTTTTGCAAAAATATATATTTATTTGTAAACCATAAAAATGACCCAAAAGGCCTATGGGTAACTCGTTCCCCTCCTGAGCCTCCATATTGCCCTATAGTTGACTATGATCCTTGACTATGAAAGGACTAAAATAAAAGAGTTCCTATGAGCGTTAGAATATTTTTCCTAAGGTACCAAAAACCATTCCAAAAGCAAATGATGGTAATTCTTAAATTCTACTGAGCATTTGCTATGTGTCTTGTCCAGTGTACACATCACATCAACCATCTTGCTATCCCCTGGGGAGGTGCTGTAAGGAAGTTTCTAGATTATGTGATGATCTGTGTTAGTGAGAAGACCTCATGTCAGTAGCTTGACTGTATTAATCTATTAATCCTATTTCAGTGGGGGGAAAAAAAGCCCAGATTTCAGAATGAACTTTTTTTTTTTTTTTTTTTGGAACAAGGTTTGAACCCAGGTCCCTTAACCACTGAACCACATCCCCAGTCATTTGTATGTTTAATTTAGAGACAGGGTCTTCCTGAGTTGCTTAGGGTGTCACTGAGTTGCTGAGGCTGACTTTGAACTCTCGATCCTCCCGCCTCAGCCTCCTGAGCTGCTAGGGTTACAGGTGTGCACCACCATGCTTGAGGCTTCTGTTGATATTCAGTAAAATTTAAACATCACCTAACTTTAACAATATTAAATAATTTTGACATTGTCCATTTGATTCCAATAGAAAATCCCAATTCAGTACACCAGTTGATAAATTCCCCAAATGAGCAGTTACGAAAACTTTTGTTCAAGTTTAGGGAATAAGAAAACATCCTTCTCATACCTGTTAAAGATACAATTTGAGTCAGATTAAAGGAAATGATATCAAGCCTGGTCACCATGAAAAGATGTCACACTAAGCATGTGTTTTTTGTAAATATATTTTTATAAAAATGAAGACATATTTTAAACATCTTGCTTGCTAGCACTTTTTCAAAACTAATTTTTAGTTGTAGATGGACACAATGCCATTATTTTATTTATTTATTTTTATTTGGTGCTGATGATCGAACCCAGTGCCTCCCACATGAGAGGCAAATGCTCTACCACTGAGCCCCAGCCCCAGCACTTTGAATAATACAAAAAGAGCCCATTATTTGGCTGTGTCAGTGTGGAGTATAAATGATAAGATTTTTAAAAAAAAAAAATCAGAAGAATATGACACCCAGCAGCTCAGGAGGCTGAAGCAGGAGGATCGTGAGTTCAAAGCCAGCCTCACCAATTTAGGGAGGCCCTAAGCAACTCAGTGAGACCCTGTCTCTAAATAAAACACAAATAGGGCTGGGGATATGGCTTAGTGGTTAAGCACCCCTGGGTTCAATCCCCAGTTCCCTCCTCCCCACCCCCCCCCAGAAAAGAAGAAAAATGCCAAAACAACATGACCTATAGATCTACAGCATTTCTCTGAATTTAGTGTAGTTTAAGGCTTTATAAAGCTCTCCCCTCCAGTGTGTTTAGAACCCTGTGAACACGCGACTGCATGGATTTCACTGGAGACAAAACTTAGCAGTCTTGAAACCCTCTTTCTTGTCCCCACGGTGATTGTGTGCCTACTGGACTCTGTTCTTGCTTTTGGACAGCTGCTTCCTGGTAGCTGGACTGATTTCTGTTTTCATGAGTCTTAAAAGTCCAAAGTCGGTGCAGGGAGAAAGGGTAGGAGGTGCTTGACCCCCAAGGAGTGTGTCTTCTCCCCAGCTCCTGTCCTGGTGCTGTCCTTCTGGAATTGAAAGGAACGGCCACTTTGGAATGTGGAGGGGGAGGCTGAGCCTCATGAGCAGGGAGGGAACCCTGGAGGTTATAGCAAAGCATCCGGAAGATTTATTCTGTGGGGGGATGGGATACAGGAATAAAATCTCCCATCATTCCTTTAAAAATAAAGATATTCATTTTTCAACAAATGCTTTTAAAGTGCCTACTGTGGGCCATGCACTTTTCTAGGTGCTAAAGATATAGCCACAAACAAGTCAGAGCTTCTAATGGAAAAAAGGGAACATTTAGTATTAATTGAAGAAATCTAAAATCGTGTGATTCAAGCACTGACACTTTTCTTTCCCTCACAGCCCCACCACCACCATAAAAATAAAAATTGCTAATAAGAATATACAGCCTCATGAACGCTGATGACGCTTGTTCAAAAATATTAATTAGCCTCTAGTAGCTCAGGAGGCTGAGGCAGGAGGATTACAAATTTGAGGCCAGCCTCAGCAACAGAGTGAGGCCCTGAGCAACTTAGCAAGACCCTGTCTCTAAATAAAAAATAAAAAGGGCTGGGGATATGGCTCAGTAGTTAAGCACCCCTGGGTTCAATCTCCAGTACCAAAAAGAAAAGGAATCGCAATGTGAGTTCAGTGGTCTGAGAGCCAAAGCCAGGGTGAACTTGACTTTGCCTCCTCCTTGCTACAGGGTCCTCAGGTTCCTTCGGCTGTGGAAGCTGTGGCCTGAGGGTACACTTCCCCTTTGTTATTTGATGGGTACCAATAAAAAGATCTGGAATGTGTGGGTTTCTCCACCACCCTCTTTGCATCTTGATGCTTTCTCTCAAGTGTGCTCATTTTCAAGGGTGTTTTTTAAAGACCCCAACTTCCCTTTCCAGAACTTTCTGAAATATAAAATGGGCAGCCAAGACAAGGAGGTTCATTGGGTAGTAAGGAAGATAATACAAAAGCCAACCCCAGAAACCTGTCGTTCTTACCAAGATCTGCATCCGCTGTCTCTCATAAGAAAGAGTTCGCGCCTTGGCCCACGCAGTCCAATAAACTGGGCCTGTTCTGTGGCTTTGCTTCTCCACATGGAAGCCACCAGCCTCAGGTTGCTAATGCCAAGCCCTTCAAATATGCCCGAGTGAGAAGGAAACACTACACCTCTACAATTTTATTTAATGTGATGACTCTTCATTTTAAGCAGCCCCCTCTAGCTGGTGGCTACCATATTGGACAGGGTGACCTCAGGCAGAGGTATATCTCAGCAGTTAACCATGCACTAGCCACAAAAACAAAGCTTACAAAAATAAATGGGGGAGAAATCCCCTGCATCAGCATTTAGGAGGTCTCTGGGTAGGATGCCCTCTCATCCAACCATCAGCGACTGGACCTTGTGTTTTGGGCCTTCATTTAGTAAAACGTGGGTGGGTGTTCCCTGACAGCTGGCAGGAGGGAAATCAGAGATCAGCTGAAAGACAGGCTGTAGGGACCAGCTGTCCCCAGAGGAGGAGATGCAAGGCTTCATTGTCAAAGCAGCTGTTAAAACAAACTCTCCTCTCGTGGATCTCACAGTCCAAGTTCACGGTGGCAGTAAGCTCACTTAAGGAGAAAGCAGGTTTATGTGTGTCTCCTCCAGCACGGATCTTCTCATCTATTTTTGCTTTTTTTTAGTTGAGGGGTAGTAGCAAGGATTGAACCATGGGTGCTAACCCCTGAGCCCCTTCCCCAGCCATATTTTATAGTTTATTTAGAGACAGGGTCTCCCTGAGTTGCTTAGGGCTTCTCTAAGTGGCTGAGGCTGGCTCTGAACTCTCGATCCTCCTGCCTCAACCTCCCGAGTCACTGGGATGACAGGCCTGTGCCACCAAGCCCAGAGAGCTTGTCATCTGTTAACTTTGCGATCCTCAACCTTTTCAGTGTTCAGTAAACCCTTATGGGTTCATTCAGTCACCTCATGTTGAGGACCCCAGAAATCTAAATTTATGGAACAGCATTAGCCACAAATGAGTGATGTCATCGATTCTTTTTTTAGTGGCCAGATAGAGCTGTTTGTTTGTTTGTTTGACGGTCTCCCACACCCCTCATCCTGAACTAAACTATAATCCTGCAGTCAGGTGGTCTGAAGCTCTTTCTGGTCTATGAAGCTCCTTCTCATGTCGTCTAAGCACCAAAAAGAAAAATAATTCAAATGATTCTCCCTAAGCTACTTTCTTCTGAAGTAGCTCACAAAGTTTGATAGTTACAGTAATCCACAAAAGAACTGATTTTCACCCACTTAGTGTGTGTCCTCCAGAATTATAGGGAGGACTTTGAGTTTTTCATATATCACTTAAATTGTGGATCTTTTGCTTTGGGCAAGAGATTATGCTAAGCAATTCACCCACGTTGTCTAATTGACTCCTCTATACTTGTTGAAGTCAACACTATCAGAGAAATTAGTTGATCCTAGATCACATTGCTGGGGAATAGCTCTACCTGAATTTGAACACAGAATTTTCTGACTTTGAAGTCACAATTTAAGATTTTTTTTTTTTTTTGTCATGCCAGATTGTAATGATTTCAAACATTTTGGAGTCATTTGCAGACTTTGCTCATGGAGTAACCCAAGAAAATTAAAGATAAATATGAGAAAATCCTTGCTGTTAAAAATAAACTGAGGGGCGGAGCACAGTGACACACAACTGCAATCCCAGTAGCTCAGGAGGCTGAGGCAGGAGGATCATGAATTCAAAGCCAGCCTCAGCAAAAGTGAGGCCCTAAGCAACTCAGTGAGACCTTGTCTCTAAATTAAATACTAATCCCTAGTATCTAAAAAATAAAAAATTAAACCAAGGGAAGTGCAAGTTATCAGAGGTCTTAAAAAGATTTCAAGAGAAACTCATCCGGTATTTATTAAGCACCCTTTGGGGTTGCTATTTCTGACATTTTAATATATGAAAAGGAACAGAAAAAAAATCAAGAAAATAAATGTAAATGCTTCCCAGTAGGTATCTAGGTAATTAGGTGGACAGATCAGACTTGATTAGAGCCACTTAGGAGATTTTTGCAGATGGTGGTGGCGGTGGTCAGATTCTTCAGGGAGAGGAGCAAGGTGCTGAAGCACTACAAACAAATTAACAAAAAATAATGAAATTAAAATTTATTGAAAATGGCCTCACACTAATAACGCTCAGATTGAAATAAAACCTGCCCTTCCATGCATCAAAATGTCACCCAGACTTTTTCGTGAGCTAACAGGAACGGGAGGATTCGAACTCTTAGCAATGTGAAGTCCAGTTCACTCCCACTGGTAAACCTTCAGCCCCTGAGACTCCTGGGCTGACTCTGCTTCCTCCCCTTCCCCTTCATCCTCCCAACTCCTGCTGTGTTTGTTGGCCCATGTGGCCAGCAAATGACAAGACATGCTTATGGTTGGGGAGGTGAACAGAAGGATAACAGAAAAAAAAAAAAGAAAAAAAAAACAGGAGGGATTTGCTTTCTTTTTCTTAGCAAAGACAAAAGGGAGGAAATGTAGACAAATCCCATCAAGGGTTAAGTGACAAACTTACTGGCCAAATGATTTATTTAACTGCTCCAAACCTTAATTTCCTCTGGCATACCATGCCCACAGTTAAGGGGCATGATATACTTTACGTGGGCAGACATAAATGTTAAACGAATGAATGAATAAATGAGCTCAGCTACTCAGGAGCTGAGCTTCTTATCACTAATCTAGAAATTAAAAAAAATAAAAAATTTAATGGAGGAAATCATTAAAAAAAAAAAAAAGACATAGGATCCTTCTATACCTTGACTTAGTTATATGATATTCATGTTGCAAAGTTTTGGAGACTAAAGTTTCGGAGATGATGGGATATTAGGTTTATGATTTGCTCTCCAGTAGTTCAGAAAAAGACTAAATAATGAATATAGAGGCAGGAGGAGCAAGATTGGTAAAATTGGAGCCTCTGGTATCCCATTCAGAAGGGATAAGGGAAACCTTTATGATGTTTTTGCAATATTCTTTAAGTTGGAAATTTTTCAAAATAAGTTTTATATATATATATATATATATATATATATTCAGTGTATGAGTTTTCTTTCCTAAGGGAGTGAAGAACAGAGCTGGTTTTATTATAGTATTTGTAAATTTCTGACTTGGACCAGGTACGGTGGTGCAGGCCTGTAATCCCAGCAGTTTGGGAAGCTGAGGCAGGAGGATCATGAGGTCGAGGCCAACCTCAACAATTTAGCGAAGGCCTAAGCAACTTAGATACCCTGTCTCAAAAAATAAAAAGGGCAGGGGATGTGGTTCCATGGTAGAGCACCTCTGGGTTCAATTCCTAGTACGCCCCCAAAAATAATTCTGACATATTTTAGGAAGCTGTTTTTAATCCCAGATTTGCACTGTAATGATAATAAGAGGAGTAGCTGTTGCAGTCACAGCACAAGAGAAACAGATCTCTTCCTACTTTTTCATTGATTTTTTTTTTTTTTTCCCCACGATTTTCTCTCTCCTGGTCTTCTCCTTTCCTCCCTGTCTCTCCTCCCACCCAGGCAACTGAAATAAAATGTCTCTGGGAATAATGCCAATTCCTGGCTTTCACTGCGAGTCTTACTATTAAATTCCAGTAAATATCAGATCATATGAAGAGCTCCCCCTCATATTTTTTTTTCCAACCCATTGCTACCCAAACTCCACATTCCTTTGAAAACTAAAGACTTTTTCCAAAAATGTCTGCTGTTAGTTTTCCTGGAGCCTAACAAAAATAAACAAATAAATAAATAAATAACCTCAATCCCTGCATTGCTATTTGCAGGACTCACCCTTGAGGTCCCTCTCTCCTTGTCCTTGGCTGTGTTTGAGTCAGACCTGACAGATCTGGAACCCCCCCCCCCGGGTAGAGGTCACAGACATGACGTCAAGGAGGAAGTGCTGTCCCAAAGAACACGTTTGTTCATTGTGACCGGGATCTTTATTGTTGTGTGTGGGAACTGATTTCCCGGTGGACACACACCTTCTCCATAACCCCCCTGGTAGCGCCCCGCACCTGTTAGCCCTGAGCCCCTGACCTGGCTGCCTTGATACGCGGAAGGCTTTTTGAAACTCTCAACATAAAGAAGCTGTGACTTAAAACTAAGTCACTCCTGAGAACCTTAGGGATAGTTCAGTGGTTCTCAATAAGCGGTGATTTTGACCCTCCTGTAGGCCTACAGCAATGCCTGGGGACAGTTTTGGTGATGACATATTGTGCAGGAAGTGCTCCTGGGATCTAGAGGTAGGGACCAGGGAGGTCACGGGCCAGCTTACCAGGCACAGCCTAACCCTCCCCCGCCCCCTCCCTGATCTCAAAGGATTATCTCAACTGAACTTGGGCCAAAATTGGAGCCTCTGGTGAGGACAGGCAGGTGTCCCATTCAGAAGTCAGAGTTCAAGGGACAGTTGCCAACTCTGTGTGTAATGACAGCAGAGCCGTTGGAAGTTCTGCTCTCTTGAGAGTTCACATTCCTGCGAAACGTGGCGTGAGATCCCAGGCAGGCATGCAGGGCTCCCAGATCCAAATGAGGTTTTCAAGGATGAGCCAGAAGTCGGTGTGCAATCGTCCTTCCAGGCTGTGAATCTGAACATCTAGCAGCACCACTCAACTGGGAGGGAGGAGGAAGTCAGGGTGTGCCTATGTGCCCCAGTGATGGGCAGACAGTCTGCATTTTGGCACCAGTGATCAGCTTTGTAAAGAATGGCACGAAGTAGGAGGACATTGCTTCCCCCCACCCCCAACTGGGGATTGAACTCAGGAGCACTTAACCACTGAGCCCCATCCCCAGCCCTGTTTTGTATTTTATTTAGAGACAGGGTTTCACTGAGTTGCTTCAGGCCTTGCTCTTGCTGAGGCTGGCTTTGAACTTTCGATCCTCCTGCCTCAGCCTCCAGAGCCGCTGGGATGACAGGCATGCACCACTGAGCCTAGCTAGAACTCTGTCTTATGTATGTCATTTCTTTGCAGTCTATCTTCAGTCTGTCTGTTGTGGTTTTTCCGTCTGGAAGACACCGTGTGGCATCGGGGTCCTGGCAAGATCAGTGGCTCTGAGCTGATCTTTCAGTGCTCTCCTGGCTTTTCCAAGGTGGCGTAGTATTTCGAGTTCCCAGCTTCTGTGACTTATTTGTTTGTCTGATGTTACATTCTCAGATGACCTTCCTCCTAAAAGTCACCTGTGATCTACGTAGCTGTGCAGTTATGAATTAAATTTTAAGCCATAAGAGTACTCTCTCAGTTTGGGATTGAACGGACACAGGAGATTAGAGAGTACCATAGTTACTTACCTGGTCTTTATGATAAACGGTGCATTGGGCAGAATCTTGACTTCATCCTTATGTATTATGACGGGATAAATGGCTTTAGGTCCTGGACTATTATTGGATGCATTAGTTTGTGAATTACATTAGTCGAGCGTTTCCATACACCAGGCAATTGAACAGACACACACACACAGAAAAACTTGAATTCATCAAGCCTATATTCTAGAGTGGGGGGAGACCTGTAAATAATAAAACAAAAGAGGAATTAAATATATTTCATGAAAGGAGGAAATAAGTGCTATAGGCGGAAGGAAAAATGGATAGGGCATAGTAGGGAAGAGAGAGGATAGGAACTATTATTTTAAGAAAGTTTGGGGAAGTCTCTGTTAAGAAGGAGACATTTGAAAGAAGATGCTGAATGGCTTAGGGCCTCACTGAGTTGCTGAGGCTGGCTCTGAACTCTCAATCCTCCTGTTTCAACCTCCCTAGCTGGTGGGATTACAGATGTGCACCACTACACCCAGCTAAGCATCTTGCATAAGAAAACTGAGGAATATGTGGCAGTAGACAAACCAGTTCCCACTAGTCCCAAAACCGTGTTCATAACCATCACATTTCTCTACCTCAGTCCCTGGACTCCCATCTGAATAAATCTTAGAGTAGTACAGAAATAACTTCAATTTTCAGAAAACCATCAAATATAATTGTAGTCATTCCTAATGCCCAGCCTTGCTGTTGTCTGCCATTTGCATGTTAGCCAGTATCTGTGTTGTATTCATCCTTTCATGGTGGCACATATGAGTCATTTCTTTGCCCAGAGATGGGCAGGAGGAGGGAACAAGAAAAGACAGGAAGATTTTGAATCATGCATATTAGCAGTGACTGTGTGCTCTCTGAACTAGCAGCCCAGCAATGAAAGATTGGAGGGCGAACAGCTAATTTCCCCTCCAGCTGAGATACATTTCCCTGGATTCCACTCAGATATTTATTCTCATCTCAGTTTCTAGGTGGCATTAATATCCAACTAAAGCCAAGTGATTATATAAGTTGACTCCCCGCCCCCCCATAAAAGATTGCAAACTTTTCAGCACACTGCCCTCTTGGTAACCATAGGGAATTGGTTCCAGGATCCCAGACAGATACCCAAATCTGCAGATGCAAATGCCCAGTCCTTTACAGAGAATGGTGTAGTACGTGCATATGGTTTATGCATCTCCTTCTAACATTTTACATCCTCTCCAGACTACTTATAATGCCTAATAAAATATAAATGCTTCATAAAGGATTGTTATGTTCTATCTTTTAGGAAATAATAACTAGAAAAAAATCTTGCTTGTTAGGTACAGATACAGTTTTTGTTTTTTCCTGAATGTTTTTTTTTTTCCGGGGAGGGGAAGGCGGGGATTGAACTCAGGGGCACTTAACCACTGAGCCCCTTCCCCAGCCCTATTTTGAATTTTATTTAGAGACAGGGTCTCACTGAGTTGCTTAGTGCCTCGCTTTTGCAGACGTTGGCTTTGGACCTGCGATCCTCCTGCCTCAGCCTCCCAAGCCACTGGGATTACAGGTGTGCTCCACTGAACCTGGCTCTTGAATGTTTTCAATATGAGGTCGGTTGGATCCAAGAACCCAGACTCCAAAGAGATACAAAGGGCAGACTCCATGGTGTACTGGACAGCTAGTCTGTAAAGATGCTACTCTAGCACTAAGCTTACGAGGAAAGGCAAGAATTCAGACAGTGGAATGCACTCTGTCCTGGTGGCTTTTATTAAATCAAATTAAATTAAATTTACTTATTTAGGTACAGGGGATTGAACCCAGAGGCGCTTTACCACTGAACCACATCCCAACCCATTATTATTTATTTATTTATTTATTTATTTATTTATTTATTTATTTATTTATTTATTTATTTATTTTGAGACAGAGTCTCGCTAAATTGCTGAGGCTAGGTTTGAACTCACAATCCTCCTGCTTCAGCCTCCTCAAAACAGCTGGGATTACAGGTATGAGCCACCCAGTCCTTTTTTTTTGATTCTTTATTTTTGAGAAAAAGTCTCTCTAGATTTCCTAGACTAGCCTCAAAATTGTAATCCTCCTGCCTTAGCCTCCCAAGTGGCTGGGATTTACAGGTCTATGCAACCCTGCCTGGCTGTCCTGATGTCTTTAAAATGTTTGATGGACACATACGTAGCTTATTGAGAAACGGTTGAGGTTTAGGGGGTGGATGTGTGTTGGGAACATGAGACAAACTGCACGTAGCACAGACAGGCCGCAGGGACTGATTTTGGGCAGAAACATTCCTGATGGTGTCCTAAGTTCCCCAGATCTGTCCCTGACCGCCTTGGGCAATAGCATAGAACATCAAGTGAGATTGCTCCAGCACTGTCACCACCAGCAGACTGACATCTCCAGGTGGCCTTGGGCCCTTCAGCCCAGACCTTTGATTACCTGAAAGTACCAAAACCTTTGGTCGCTGTCCCCCACCGCCATAGCTTCCCCATCAACAATGTATTCAGACATTTCCTCACTCACCTTTGGAACAGCTGAGAGTCAGGATCCTGGGGCCCGTCTCACCCCTGCCCCTCCCTGTCCTCCTGATGGTTTTCATAGACACTCCTGCAGCCGGCACGGAGGGAGGGCTCCTGATACGTCTTCCCTGAAAAACGCCAACATCATTATTCTAATGCCAGGTTGCAAAGAATCATGAGCTATAAGGTTGAAAGGGAAAACATAAGTACGTCCTGCAGAAACAGGTCAAGTGCTTAAGAAAGGGGACTCCAAGAACACTTGGGGGGTGGCAGGGCCTGGTGATGGAGCAGGCATCATGTTCCCAGGGGTGCCCTGGATATGCCCAGCAGAACTCATCCGCTACCAAGTTTGCAGATTTTCTTAGCTTTTGTTTCTCTCTTTTTAAATTGTTTTATTTTTTCCTTTTAGTTATACATGACAGTCGGGTGCATCTTGACATATTATACCTACATGGAGTAGAACTGACCATTCTTGTGGTTGGACATGATGTGGAGTTTCCCTGGTCGTGTGTTCATAGATGAACATGGGAAAGTTCTGTCCCATTCATTCCACTGTCTTTCCTGTTCCCATCTCTCTCCCTGTTTCTTCCTCCTCCTCCTCCTCCTC